GAGAAGGTTCAAAGTAAAGTTTAATTGAGTTGTTCAAAACTCTGAAGTATTTTGATTGAGCACATGGAAATTAGGTTAACGATCTGATGGCATCCAGATTGATACCCAGTGGGTACAGATTTAAGGTAAATCAACCAGAAGCAAGATGAGAATTTTTTTTTAATGCGGTGAGTTATAATCTGGAATGCACTGCCTGAAAATATAATGAAATACTTGCAAAAGGGAAGGGGATAAATATTTGAAGAGCTTTGGGGAAATGGCGCAGGAGTGGGAATCACTCCCACCCTTTCAAAGAGCCAGGAAGAGCATCATGGGGAAAAATAACCATTGCCTTTTGTATGAGTCTGAGATTAAAATTGGTCCACCATTGGCTCAACAGTGTTCAACAGAAGCTCTCAGTTGTATCTCAAAATAGAACTTCTACTCCACATGCAGAAGATTTTGGTTTAACTTCCACTCTGGAAGCTTGCACAAACTCTCGGCTGGTAATTTTAGTGCAGCACATACTTTCATAGGTGTGCTGTATTGAATACGATATATAACTGCTGCCTCTGGTATCCATAACATATCCTATGATGCAATTCAGCATTCCACTCCAGTTATTTTTTCTGCTGCATGGACCTCAGAGGTCTGGAATTGGAAGCCAATTCATCATACCACCAATTGGCATTTGTGGAACCTCTGCATAACTGTGCAGCTTTGAGGGAATTTAGGTGGTATTTTGAAAACAAATGAGTTTTTGCTGGTGTCCTGAACCATATTTACCTCTCAACCAACATCAATAAAAAGATATTATCTGCTCATTATTACTTGTGTATTTGTGGGACTAAACTGCAAATTTCTTACATGAGTAACAAGCACTTGTGTTTATATGATGTCGCTAATTTTGTAAACCATCCAAAATCCCTTCACAGGGAGTAATACCAAATAAACGTTGTCATCAAGCCACGTAAGAGAATATCAAAAATTTGAAGGAGGTATGTTTTCGGAAAAGAGGTTTAATGTAAACATAATGCACTCAAAAGTATTTACTCCATTACAGAGCTTTTTGGGACATCATGAGGTTGTGCAAGATGCCACGTAAATACAAGATCTTCTTTCTTCACATTATTCCAACATTTTGTTGGGTACAAGTCCTCTTTGCTTTTGAAAATGAGAATAAGTGCTTGCAATTCCTAAAGGTTGACGATTGGGATAAAGTTGAAACATAAGATCTTAGCTTTGGGACTGGGTGAAACTGTGGTCTAATTTTCAACTGCATTAAAGTAATTTGGACATTGAAGTAAGATTTCTTAGAATCCTACAGTGTGAAAATAGGCCTTTCGGCCCAACAAGTCCACATTGACCCTCAGAGCATCCCACCCAGACCCATCTCCCTATAACCCACCTAATCTACACTTCTCTGAATACTATGGGCAATTTAGCATAGCCAGTCCACCTAGCCTGCACATCCTTGGACTGTGGGAGGAAACCCACGCAGACACGGGGAGAATGTGCAAACTCCGCACAGACAGTCAACCAAGGGTGGAATTGAACCCGGGCCCCTGGCGCTGTGAAGCAGCAGTGCTAACCATTAAGCCACCGTGCCACCCCTGTAACAAAGGCTCATCCGGGATTTTAACCCGGGACCCCTCGCACCCTCTAATCAACCCGAAGCGAGAATCATACCTCTAGACCACGAGCCACCCACTTGAAACTCCACGCACTGCATTGCAGTGCTGCAAGTAATTCTGGTGCCGGGAGCATCTGCCCATAATTGTTCCACTTCTAATACAAGTACAGGCTCAGTTTGCATGGATGAATGCCCATTTGTCCTTGGGCCTTCTCTGGAAAAGCTGTTTGCTTCTGTAATATTGAAAGAAAAAAGAGTGTAATTTAGTTTGTGATGAAACACATTCAGTTCTCCTTCAGTAAGGAGCAGTGAACTGAATCTTCAATATTGAACCAAGTGATATGCAATAGTTTAACATGTCAGCTTCATGAAACAGCATTGAGCATCTAGTGTTGGAATTGAAAGAAAATTACTGGGACCAGAAGGTTATGTAATGTGGTCAACACACCCACAATATTTTTGCAATGTTGTTCAGATTTAAAGATTTTTAAAAATTTCTCATGTAGGATTACAGTTCATTGAATTCGGCTTTTACTTTTTCTTTCAACCTGTGCTGAGAAGGTATACTTCTCCCTAGTTAAAAGTAACAATAACAACATAGGTCCAGGCCATTCTAATTGATTTTCCAAGGTACCTGGGAAAACGTTTGAAGTGCTATAACCTACAAAACTGTGGACCAAGAACTAGAAAATAGAATTAGGCTGGATAACGTGTTTTTGGCCAGTGCAGACATGATGGGTTGAATAAACTTGACCTGTGTTGTGAATTTCTATCAGATACCTCACTATGCCTGCTTGCATCCTGGAATGTGAAAGGCTCCAGTTTATATAATTTCCTTTTTCTCTTTTTTTCCAGTCCACTGTTATCTTGCCAGACCTACATATCCAACAAAGCTGATTGGTTCTAAACCATAGTTCCTTCTTTATGAAAATTAATGATGTTGCCTCAAAGTTTCTTATAGTATTTGATGACAGTGGGTATATGTGTCATTCCTGCATTTGCTGCTAATTCCTGACTTCCTTTGAGAAGCTAGTGGTGAACTACCTGGTGAAGACCTGCAGTTTAGGTGCAACTAAAAGCACCGTTAGGAAATGCATTCTGATAAAACGCTTCCCTTAAAAATGGGATGAAATATTATGAAGCATCTGAGTTAGATGGTGATTTTAAATCTATGTTCGCTATCATGTGGGGAGAGCATGAAGATTGGCAGTTATTTCAGCTAATGCAGTTCATTCCTATTTAGGTAAAAAGGAAAACCTCTGTGCACTTAACTACTTCATCTTATGATCATAACTGAATTGTTGGCTCCTGCCTCCTTAAGCGCAGCCTCTGATGTGACTTTCTTCACCATTTCACTTTAGCATTCTGATTGTTCAGGCTAATGCTTAATTCATTTATTTTAGACTTAATGGGCTATCAGATGTCGGTATAGTGATTTTACTGGTAAAAATTACATTTCTGTAATGCCTTTCATGATGTTGGAACATTGTAGAGGAGTGTACAGAGAAAGAGGTAATTTTGAAGTGTACTTTCTGTTTAAAATGGGAAATATGACAATGGGAAGCAATTAATGCTGACCAAATCATGTATTTTAGTGATATTGGTTGAGTATAAAATGGCAGCCAGCAGAGAAATCTGGTTTGGTTCAATGTAGTACCCTAAGATATCTTGAGAAGGTAAACAGGACTTCAGTTTACATCTTACTCAAAATATAGTTCTTTTGACATTCAGTAATGTCTCACCTCATCTGCCTCTGAAACCATGATTCATGACTCAAAGCCCAACGGTACCAATGTATTACAGTTGGGTTTTCCATATTCTGTATGGAGTAAACTTGACATATTTGTAAACCACTGCATGTTTCCTTAACTTATCACCCTGTGCTCACGAACCTACTTTGGAATTTAGGATCAAGAGTAGATCATTCAGCACATTGAGCCTGCTCTGTGATTTAATCATATCATGGTTAATTATTTACCTTAACATCACTTTCATGCACCACCTCCACAGCCCTTAATATCATTAGAATCCAGGAATCTATCAATTTCTCTCCCGATCATGCTCAATGATTGAATTTTCTACAACCTTCTGAGGTAGAGAATTCAAAATGTTCACCACCCTCTGAGTGAAGAAATTCCTCCTTATCTCAGTCTTAAATGGCCTACAGTTTATTCTGAAATTATGTCCATGGTTTCATACCTTCAGCCAGGGAGTATAGCCTATCTATACTCACCCAGTCACGTCCTGCTAGAATTTTACATGTTAAAATGTGGTCACCTTTCATTCTTTGACACACTGGAGAATACAGGCCCAGTCTCTTCAGTTGTCCCTCAAGGCAAAACTGCTGGGGAGTTGGAGGAAGAGTTGAAATGGTTCGCAACCGGAAGGTGTCGTTTGTCGCAAACAGAGCGCAGGTGCTCTACAAAGCGGTCTCCGAGCCTCCGCTTGGTCTCACCGATGTAGAGGAGGCCACATCAATAGACCACATTGATGTGCAGGGAACCTCTATCTGATGTGAAAGGGTTTTTTGGTGCCATGAATGGAGGTGAGGGGGGGAGGTGTAGGGGCAGCAGTAGCACTTCCTGCAGTTGCAGGGAAAGGTGCCAGGGGTAGTGGGGCTAGTGGCGAGTGTGGAGCAGACGAGAGAGTTGTGGAGAGAGCGGTCCCTATGAAAAGCAGATAGGGGTGGGGATGGAAATATCTCTTTGGTTGTGGGGTTGGATTGCAGGTGGCGGAGAATGATACATTGGAAACGGCGGTTAGTGGAGTGATACATGAGGACAAGGGAGATTCTGTCTTTGTTTTTGTGGGGATGTGAGGGCAGAGGAGTGGGAAATGCAAGAGATGCGGTCAAGAGCATTTTCAACCACGGAAATGGGGATGTTGCGGTCCTTGAAATAAGAGGACATCTGGGATGTTCAGGAGTGGAACGCCCCATCTTGGGAGCCGATGCAATGGAGGAATTGGGAGTAGGGATCACATTCTTGCAGGAAGGTGGGTGAGAGGAGGTGTCATCTAGGTAGCTATGGGAGTCGGTGGCCTTGAAATAGATGTTGGTTTCAAGGCAGTCACCAGAGATGAGAAAAGTAGGGTATGCATAAAATATAAAAGGGTATTCTACTTCCTTTTAGTGCTTCTAGCTACTTTTTTGTCTTAATCATGCCATCGGTAAAATTTTACACTTGAATGTCTTGTTACTGGTCCCAACTTCTTCAAATCTGTACATCTGTTCAGTTTGGTTTGTGTTCCACCTTGATTGTCAATAGATCATTAAAGTACATTTGCACTCTAGATCAAAAAATTAAATCTATTGGATCCTAATGTTTTATTGTTAGGCTTTAACCATTAAACATCAAAAGAAAATAATGTTCCATATGTTTGTCCACAGCTAAGAAGGAACAACAAGACATGGATGATAAGAAAACAGCACAGAAGAAGAAAGTTAAGGAGCTAAAGGTGTTGGATGGTAAAGCAGCTCAGAATCTATGTAAGTATTTTGAGGGAATGTTGAAGTATCTTTTGGAATATAGTGATATGGATGAGTCTAATCCACCTTTTGTCTCTCCAGCATAACATCAATAGCTTTATTCAGTGTCAAAACAAAAGCATCAAAGCTCGATAATAGGCTTACAAAATAACCATTAGAATCGTTGGCTGTGATGAGTAAACTGCTGGAAATGCATCTTAAGTAGGCTGGTTTTAAGTCATCAAGCTATTTTCTGCTTAAACTGGTTTGAGCTAAATCTGCACATGAATTCTATTGTATCTATGGATTTTGTTTGTTTCATATAGCTATCTTCTTGGGTTCTTTCCGTTTGTCATACAATCAAATCAAAAAAGCAATTCTTGAAGTGGATGAAAAGATTCTGACTGAATCATTGATCCAGGCAAGTTTTTCCTTTAATCTGCTTTGTAGCTCTTATTTATCTTCTGTATTAAAAGTCAGTTGGGTGGAAAGTATCTAACAAAAACAATGATGTAGCATTTTCCCAAGTGTTGTTGGTACTGCACTTACTGGGGCTGGTAAATGGAGGATATTCCATCATATTCTAAATTTACCCTTTGTAAGATGATGGGCAAAGTTTAGAGAGTTACAAGCTAATCTATTCACCACAGAATTCTGAGCACCTGGTCTGCTCTGATAGCCAAAGTATTTACATGTTTGGACCAGTTATACCTTCTAGTCAGTTGTAAGCCCCAAATGTTGATGAAGCAGCTAAAGATGGTTGTACATGGCATGCTGAACATGAGTAACAATGTCCTGTCAGTTAAATGATTGGCCTCCAAAAATCACAACATCATCTTTTGTGACTTATGGGGTGGCACGGTGGCTCAGTGGTTAGCAATGCTGCCTCAGCGCCAGGTACCCAGATTTGATTCCTTCCTCGGGCAACTGTCTGTGTGGGGTTTGCACATTCTCCTCATGTCTGCGTGGGTTTCCCCCGGGTGTTTTGGTTTCCTCCCACAGTCCAAAAATGTGCAGATTAGGTGGATTGGCCATGGGAAATGTAGGGTTAAGGGGATACGGTAAGGTGGGTGGGTCTGAACTGGATGCTCCTTGGAGGGACAATGTGGACACGATGGGTTGAACGGCCTCTCTCCACAGTGTAGGGCTTCAGCCAATGGAACATTTTTCCTGTACAATAACATAATAACTAGAATGTACTAATGGTTATATGCTGGTCAGTGGCCATGGTTCATAGAATCCCCACAATGTGAAAACAGGCCACCCAGCCCAACGAGTCCACACAGACCCTCTGAAGAGCATCCCACCCAGATCCATCCCCCTTTCCCTGCATTTCCCATGGCCTACGCACGTAACCTACACAACCCTGAACACTACTGAGAATTTAATATAGCTAATCCACCTAACTTGCACATCTTTGGACTGTGGAAGGAAACCTGAGCACCTGACAGAAACCCAAGCAGACATGGGGAGAACATGCAAACTCAACAGACAGTTGTCTAAGGCTGGAATTGAACGTGGGTCCCTGGCACTGTGAAGCAGCAGTGCTAACCACTGAGCCACTGTGCTAGGTTATCCTAGTGCAGTATAAAATTTTATGCACTTTGGTATATTTAGAACATTGTGGGTAATGACAGGAATCTATCTTCTTTCCAGAACCTCATTAAGCAACTTCCCCAGCAGGAGCAGTTGAGTGCCTTAGCAGATCTGAAAGATGAATACGATGACCTCTCGGAACCAGAGCAGTTTGGAGTAATTGTATGTATTCATTTTGCTTGTTGCTAATACCAAGATGTATGAGCAAACAGGACAAGATGATCTCCAGTTTGTCACTGTTGAGCAGCACATTTTGTGTTCGGATTAGCACCACACAGAACTAGGAGACCGCAATTGCTGTTGCAAGCCAGCTATTGCTCCTAGCTGATGACAATGTGTTAGGTTTTATTCAGTATTTTGTGCAAAGTTGCCTTTACACTCAGCTGCAGTTATGCTCCAATCAACATGTAGCCCACCAGTTAATGAGGCTACCTCTCATACTGTCACATCTCTTGCCTTTAGCGTGATTTGCATTCTGGTAAGTAATCTAACTATTGAGTCACACCAAATGTTCTGTATTTACAGCCACTCAAAGCCTCTTACAATCAATGCAAAGATAATAATGGAATATGTCCATGAGCTGGCATTAAATGTTAAAAGAGGCTTAATTTGCAGAAAATGATTGTGACAAGGAAACCAGTCTGTGAATGCTATTTATTGTACATTACTGTGTCACTGAAGGGTGATACTCACTGATTATTGTCAAAGAAAATTACATTTGATTTCTTGGTATAGTATTTGAATTGCATCCAGCAGAACTGGTTCAGAGATCTGACATTAGATTTTTTGAAGCACTGTGGGACTTAACTTCCAGTTGATCACATTTTAGTACTTTGCTTTTTACCTCACCCTAATGTTGCCTTGAATTACATTAATATTGTAAATTGTTTTCCCTTGATAACTATGCCTTTTCATTAGATATTCACTTCCGGGTTATGGGCCAAAACCTGCAAAATGGAATTAGTGTAGTTAAATTTTGTTGACTGGCACAGTCATGATGGGCTGAACCGTCTGCTCATGAGAGTTTGAGTCATTGATTCAACACAACAAAGGACTTTGGTGGAAACTTTTGATGTTTTTGGATTTCCACCCATGTTGTGCATTGGAAAGATTTAAGCAGAATGTTGCCATGAAGATGCAGCAGAGATTGGCTCTCTCCATTACCCCTTGTTTCTTATGAAAAAGGAAAATGTTATGTATAAATTCTCCTCATCTCCTTAATATTGACATGCCCTAGAATATCAACATATCCATGCCTAATCTCACCATCCTTCTCCTGCTGAATACTGATGCAAAGTACTTATTAAGGACCTCACCCACTTTGTCTGGTTCCAGGCATAAATTTTCTCTTTGTTCTTGAGTGGACCCACCGTTTCTCTAGCTACCCTCTTACTCCTTATAATTGTATAATATGCTTTGGGATTCTCTTTAACCCAACTTATCATAGGTATTTCATGACCTCTTTTAGCCCACCTAATGGCTTGTTTAAGTTCTTTACTGTTTCCTTTATGTTTCTACTGTTTCCTTTATGTTTCTCAAGGTTCTTGTCTGATTTTGATTTCCTAAACCTTATGCATACTTCTTTTTTCATTTTTTAAGCTAAACTTTCTAAATCTCTTGTCAGCCAGGATTCCTGACTTCTGCCATCCTTCTCTTCCATCCTCAAAGAAGCATGCTGGGCCTGAACTCTGATCAACTAGCCTTTAAAAGACACCTGTATTTGAAACATGGATTTACCTACAAACAGCGACCCCAATCTAATTTCTCCAGTTCTTGCCTAATATTGCTGTAGTTAGCCTTCCACAAATTTAGCGCTTTCACCCAAGGACCAATCTTATCCTTGTCCATAACTGTCTTAAAACTTATGGCATTATGATCACTGTTCCTAAAATGCAAACCCCTCCACCCCCTGCCCACTAAACTTTGATCATCTGGCCAGGCTTATTCCCCAATACAAGGTCCAGTACGACCCCTTCCCTAGTTTGACTATCTACATATTGTTACTGCTGTTATCTACCTTGCAGGAAAGTTTATTTTTGTATTTGTCCAGGGCATGTGTGAATTGCTAGTGTGATCAGCATTTTATGCCTATCCCAAATTTCTATTAAAAGGCAGGTGGTGAACTACTTTCTATTCTCACACTTCTGTTGGGAGTAGCGTTCCAACTTTAATCTCCTCCATCTTCCTTCACATTAAAAATAAGTCAACAAGTAGTTGTATGAGAATAGTTTTTCAACATCAAATGATTTTTCAACATAAATTTACCCATTCAGCCATTCTTCTTATTTTCCTTTTGGACAGTAAACATCCACATGTATCAGAGATCCACATGTATCAGAGGCAGTACAGATGAACCCAAGCCTGTACTCACCCACATTAATGAGTGTACTTTCCTGTAAGAATTACTGAATCAAAATGAATGGAAACTTTGGCTAACTCACGACCAACCCTGGTGAAACCTTCAGCACAGCTTTTTAAAACTGGAGAAAGAATGAAGCAAAGAACATGGAGTTATATAAGCACCTTGTACAGCCTTGGGACTTCCCAAACACTTCATAACCAATGAAGGTTTTAAAAATCCATGATTATTGAGGTACAAACCAGACTGTGATGCTTGAGAAGACTGAACTCTCATATATGTAGCAACTTTCGTAATATCAAAGCACTTTGTAAACAATCTAAATACTTTTGAGAATGTGCCAGATAGTCTGTTCATTGTTTGATGTTAACTGAAGGTTAGGTAATGACCAGAACACTGAGGAGAACTGCCCTGCTGCAGTTCAAAGGAGTGACCTTCGGATCTTGAGTATCTACCTTAAAGGGCCAAGGGAGAATACATTCAAAGGTCACACCCCTACTACGGCAGCATTTTCTTAATGCTGCACTGATTTTGAGTCTAAATCTGTGCACAAGACTCAGGATTACAACTGCTTCGTTCTATAACAAAGATGTGATACTATCATACTTTCCTGGTTTGCTTCTTGGTCACAGTTAATCATTTTTGGCCTTTTCAATTGCAGATCAGTTCTGTGACCCGTCTGAGACCCCGATTGAACGCAATACTATTTTTGCTCCAGTTTGAAGAGCAGGTGAATAACCTTAAACCAGACATCGTATCAGTGAAGGCAGCCTGTGAGGAAGTCAGGAGCAGTGATAATTTTTCCAAATTAGTGGAAATCATCTTGTTGGTGGGAAACTTTATGAACGCAGGATCACGGAATGCTGGAGCATTTGGGTTCAACATCAGCTTCCTTTGTAAAGTAAGTGCTACTATCAAAATGTATTTGTTGTTAGAAAGAATTGCTGACTTGTATTTGTAAACTGCCTTTCAGAATCTCAACCATTCTCAGAATGCTTACAGGAAAGAAGAGTTTTTAAAGTGTAGTCACTGAGCTGATTTAGGAAATACAGCAGCCAGTTTACGTACAGGAAACTCCCACAAGCCAAACATGTGGTAATGACCGGCTAATCTGGTTTGGCAGTGATGTAATTTAAGATGTATGTATTGACCAGGTCCTCACAGAGGGCTCACATGCTTTTCTTGGGAATGGAGCCATTTTAGAAGCTTTTAAAAGCTCGTAAGTGAATAGTTAAGGCTTCAATTGAATGCACGTCCAGGATATAATACATCTAATACTGAAGAGTTCCCTCAGTACTCTACAGGAGTGTCAGCCTAAATTTTGTGCTCAAGTATCTGGTGTGGGACTTGACCAGCAACTGTTTGACACAGATAAAAGTACCGGTGCTGAGCTATGGCTAAAACCTAATGTAATAAAGTGATCCAGTCATGAGTAGTAATACCTAGCTCTAAATATAGAACAGGTGTCCAGCACACGGAAAATGCAAACAGCAGAATGACCTATTAAAGTTGGAATCCTGCAAATCTTGCAGGACCCATTTTGGATATTTGTCATGCTTCACAACATTACACAACAGCAGCTCAACGCCTGAATTGTAAAGGACACCTCACTAGCAATGTTAATAGGATCATACAGTGCATTCAGGTTAGTCGGCAGTTGTCATTTCACGCTGTTTTGTCTGTTTTATGACTGAATCAAAGTAAAGATGAGGTTGCTTCTAGACCATACAGTTATTCTTTGATTGGAAAGAGACAACCGGTGGTGGTTTGACCTGAGGGTGACCACACCTCAGGCGAGGGGAAGGTTGACAAGGAATTTAATTCATGGTAACCTCAGCTGGTATGGAAATTGAACCCATACTGTTGGTGTCATTCTGTGCTGCAAATCAGCTGGCCAGCCAACTAAGCTAACCAGCCCCTATCACTTAATCACATTATGGTTGAAGCCCAAAAAGAGAGGCCATTCTTCCTGTCATATCTGTGCTGACTCTGCAAAGGAGCAGTTTACCTAGTCCCAGCACTTTTCCCAGTTGCCCTACACAGTCTTCCTTTTCAGATAATAACCCAATTCTCCATTAAATCTCAGTTGAATCTTCTTCCATTGCACTCTCAAAGCAGTGAATTCCAGATTCTAACCATTCACTTATTTCTCGTTGTCTTTGCATTCTTTTGTCACTTATCTTAAATCTGTGCCCTGTTGTTCTTCACCTTTCCATCATAGGAACAGATTTTCCCAATCAACTTTTCTGAGTCCTAAGCACATGTTCAGTAAAGCACGTTCTCCTCCTGATGTCTTTGGTTCTTTTGCCAATCACACTGAAATTTTTGCCCTTTGGTTATGCATCCTTCAGCCAGTGGAAACAATTTCTCTTTATTTATACAAATTTAAACATTTCTATCAATTCCACTGTTAATTGCCTTTGCTATAAGAAGAATAACTTTACTGTCTGTGACTTTTTTCTGTAAGCACTCATTTGTTTTTATCTCTGTAAATGTGTTAAAATTACTGCTCTAAGAAACAATGGCATAATCAAATGCGCTATGTGTATTTAAGTTATAGAGTCACTAACAAAATAATGAACAAGTTCTTTGAAGTAAAGTTAGTGATTTCTGTTTGGAGCACAGGACAGAAATGTTACAAAATGCAGATCAGTAATGCTAAATATTACTGATATACTGCCGTTGTTCTCTGGGTGGTAGAGATTACAGGTTTGGAAGGTATGATTGAAGAAGCGTTGATGAGGTACTCGGAAAGTAAATGTGATGTTGCCCCAATGGCTTATAGCAGACAGCAAATCAGTAGCAGTATTGAATTGAATTAGTCCTACTCAGCAGAATTGTCCAGGAAATATGCAAAGAGCCTATCATTATAATTGCTTTGCAATACTTTGCTTATAATTTATTGATTAAATGAAGGCTATCAAGGTTTGTCGAATAGCCCATTTTAATCCCCCATGCCACCCCCTCCCCCAACTCCCTTACACTCATACAAGTAGACAAGCAGCCAGCTGAGGCAGAAGAGGAAAATTCTGGGAACAGATCACCATATCTCTATTGGAAACAATCGATGGCATGACAACTTTAAAAGGAAGTACAAGTCTTTGAAGTTATTTGAAAATGTGAATCTGATGTTTCTTCACATATTTCACAAATTTTGTTTTAATGCTTTGCTTTTTGCCATTTTCCCCATTTCTGTCATGCTTTGAATGGGATTACAGTATGATAGGTGTTGGTTCTGCCTCAATATATTCCTAAAAAATGAAAGTCAAGCTGGAGCACCTTGGGAAGGAGAAAGATCATAGCAACCAACCTTGATCTTGTCCTCACCCAATTATTATGCAGAAATTTCTTCTTCATTTCCCAAAGAGTGATCAGCAATGAAATCTTTGGGCTCTTTTCCACAATACATTTGCTTTGGTACCTATCCCTAGCCATGCTGCTGATTTGCTCACTGCTAAAAACCATCGCATTTACTTACCTTCCTTGATTATACCTTCCAAACCTGCAATCTCTACCACCTGGAGGACAAGGACAGAAGATGCATGGGAATACCAACACCACCAAGTTCTCCTCCAAGCCACATGCCATTCTGATCTTAGAACTATATCGCTGTTTCTTGGTTGTTACTGGGTCAAAATCTCAAGGACTGCAGCAGTTCAGGAAGGCAGCTCACAACCACTTTCAGAAGGCAGTTTGGATGAGCTATAAATAGTTGTCTAGCTAGTGATCCCCACATCCCATAAACAATTTTTATTTTAAAAATCAATTCTCCAGAGTTTCTTTAGCAAAACATTTGGCTGTTGCACCTATTATTAGACAACTTGCATTGCAATAGCATAATGATGTATTTCTGGTCAAATTAGCAATGTATTTTCAATACCTATAATCAGAAGTGCCTGCATTTTTTTTTAACTGCACTCAGCAACATTATGTTATGGTTTGGTTTATGATGTGAACTGTGTTGAACTGAGCCATGTAGTCTGGTAGGGAGCTGGAATCAGTTTCTCATAGAATCCCTACAGTGTGGAAACAGGCCCTTCAGCCTAACAAGTCCACACCAACTCTCAGTGCATCCCACCCAGACTGATCCCGATAATCCACCTAATCTACACATCCCTGAACAATACGGGCAATTTAGCATGGCCAGTCCACCTAGCCTGCACATCTTTGGACTGTGGGAGGAAACCGGAGCACCCAGAGGAAACCCACACAGAGACCGGGAGAATGTGCAAACTCCACACAGACAGTCACCCGAGGGTGGAATCGAACCCAGGTCCCTGGTGCTGTGAGGCAGCAGTGCTAACCACTGAGCCACTGTGCTGCCAGTTTCTGATCTGGGATGAATTCTCTGATTTCAATCAAGCTGTTATGAAGGAACACTGTCACTCAGTCCACAAGCATGACCCAGACCTTCAGGTCATTTGCCATTTTGATTTATCATCGTATTCTCATGCTCACTTTTCTGTCCTTGGCCTGTAGCAGTATTCCATTGAATCTCAAAGCAAGCTGGAAGAACACCCCGTTTTCCAAATGAACACTTTACAACCTCTGGGTTTAATATGGAGTTCAACAATTTCATAACCGTGAACTCTCTCTTTTAGTTTGATTTTATTTCCTAAAGTGTCACTTATATCTTATTTTGTTTTTTTTGTATTCATTCCCAGGGTGTGGGTGTGGCTGGCTAGGCCAGCAATCATTGCCCATCCCTAACTGCCCAGAAAGTAGTTGAGAATCACCCATGTTGCTGTGGGTTTAGAGTCCTATGTAGGTCAGATCAGGTAAGGATGGCAGTTTGCTTTTCTAAAGGGAATTTGTGAACCAGATGAGTTTTTCCAGCAATTGACAACAGTTTCATGGTCCTAATTAGACTTTTAGTTCCAGATATTTATTGAATTCACATTCCATCATCATCTATGGTGGGATTCGAACCCAGAACATTACCTGGATCTCCGGATTAGTAGTCTAGCAATGATACCACTAGGCCATCGCCTCCCCTAAAATGAAATGGCTTGCTTTCAGACAGATCTGGAATTTGTTTTTCGATAACTCCCACTCTGAACCAATGTTTTGTTTCTTTACCTCTACTATTACCATACCCTTCACTTTTTTCCCCATATTTCGATATTTAATCTTTCTTGCCCTCTAACTTTTCCTCACTTTCCCTTTTCTTGCATCTGATTACTGTTCTCCCCACGCTCCCACAAAAAGTTAACTCTGTTTCTGTTCCCACAAATGCTGGTGGACTTGCTGAGGCTTTCCAGCAGTTTGTTTTTATTATGGTAGTATGAGTAGATCTCTATACCACTGAATTAAAGAAAGAATAGAGTAGGCAGATCCAGTAGTTGTTCTGCAATGGTAGCAAAATGGCAGCTGGAGCTAGTGATCATTTGGACTATTTTGACTCACTGAAAGTAATATTGATTCAATGTGGTAATGTAAACCGACTGCACTGAATTTGTAGCTTGAGTTGTATCTCCCCCAGTTTTATTTTCCATTCACGTCAACAGTAATTGGTAAGGGAGGTATAAAATGGGCTGCCAATTCATCTTTGCCCAATGTGTCATGATGAAGATTGGGCGATTCACCAAAGCACTTGAAGGAGTCCAGCACCTTTAGAACTGTATGACAACCAGGGTTCAATGCCCCTGAATTTTTATTTTTCAAAAGCAAAACCTCTACAGATATAAGTACATTTGGTTCTTCTGGATATTTATTTTAAAATGTTTTTTTATTCATTCATTAAAATTCTTTTTCCTAACAGTTAAAAGATACAAAATCCACCGATCAGAAGATGACACTTATGCACTTTATAGCAGAAATGTGTGAAGAACAGTACCCTGAAATTATTCACTTCACAGAAGAGCTAAACCATGTGGAAAAAGCAAGCCGAGGTAAAGGAATTATTAAACTTTAAATAAAGAGAATGGCCTAGATAGTAGGAGTTGGAAAATACTACACTCATCATCTATTAATTCTCTTGTAAAGTGTGCAGCCATTGATTAGAACTGGTACAGCGCTTCTCTCTGCCACTGACCTACTTAACATTTCAAGCTCTGCCTCTAGCATTCAATTTGTTTTGCAATGCAGGAATTGTGCAATGATTTTTGGTTTCTCTAATGTGCAATAAAATACATGATTGCATTAAAAGAAACAAATAATTTAAGACTGATGCAAACCTTCTAATATTAGACGGGTATGGCTGCCTGCCTGGAATTGTATACCCACAGGGATTTGTGCATGCTTCAGTTAGTAAACAGAATCCTGGTTTAAGATTTATCCATTTCGTAATAAAATTTATCATCACTAGGGCTCACTGTGGTTCCATCAAAAGCTTTCACAGCTTCAGCATGCAATGTTTGCCTTAACCCTTTTGAGGCATTTTATGTTAACTGAATGGGGAAATATTGCAGTTAAAAATGAAAAAGAAATATGCTGGAGATACAAATATAAAAATTATAGGCAGACAAATGCCTTCTAGTTATCAAGCCTGCCCCACGTGTTACATGAAGCATCATGATTAGAAATATCCACAACCTGAGAGAAGCTGAATTACTGTGCCAATTAGAAAAATTGCACAATTAGAAAAATTGCACAAGTGAATGTTCTGTAAGGCCACTCCGTTCCATGAAAAATTAGTTAGAGACAAAAAAAAACTGTAGATGCTGGAATCCAAGGTAGACAAACTGGAGGCTGGAAGAACACAGGAGGCCAGGCAGCATCTGAAGGAAAGGAGCAGTCAACGTTTCGGGTCCCCCCCTTATTCAGGACTAAAGAGGGTAATACCCGAAACGTTAACTGCTCCTTTCCCCCAGATGCCACCTGGCCTGCTGTGTTCTTCCAGCCTCCTGTTTGTCTTCCATGAAAAATTAACCTCTTTCTGGCATTGTGTTTTTAACAACAGGAGCTTAACACTTATATCATGCCTTGAATGTAGTAAAGCACCTTGACACTTCAGAGGAATATTATTGAACAATAGTTGATGCCAAGCCACCTGAGAGATATTAGGACAGATGACCAATAGTTTAGTCAGAGTCAAGATTTATGGCATATTTTAAAAGTGTATAGAAGGAATTCCAAAACATACTATTCAGGCACCGAATGACATGTCTATCAATGATGCACAATGGGATTGTCAGATGCAGTGTGACGATTCAGAGGGAGTGAAGAGATTGACAGAGGTGATGGTGAGATCGAATTGCCTATTGCCAATATGCATGTGGAATTTCTTTCATATAATATCATCAAGATGCAATATGTAGATGAGTAATAGGAAGGGTCCAGATGTATTCATTTATCCACCGCCTTTATCTTCCCCCTCACTACTGGACTAGAGCCAGGATAAATCAGCACTCTGATCACTGTCCAGTTACTTTTGCATTGTGGTACATGTACATAGACGTGCTGAAAAATAACTTTCATATGATGCATGTACAGAAACTTTATAGCTTTATGGTGCCACATCTAAATGTCCATTCTTTATATGTGAAACTGAGTGGTCACAATTAACAAGTTTTTCAGGCTTGAAGTTGAATCTAAGCTTTTCTTTGTGCAATCTATGCCCTTGTATAGTTTTCAGCAAAATCCATTGAGTGGTAATTTGGATATAGCGCTGATTCCCTTTTTGAGATCTGATATAGTCACCACTGCTGAGCTTGCTCAGATCATCCAGTTCCACACAGTTTACCTTGGTTCCTGTTGATCCATGCAGTGCAAATTGAAGAAATTGTGAAGAAACTGAAGAAGACAATGCTGAAATAGTTGACATTTTTTGTGTTCTTTACAGTTTCTGCAGAAATGTTACAGAAGAACCTAGAACAAATGGGGAAACAGATTGCCACTTTGGAAAAAGACATCAGCACGTTCCCACAAACCAATAACGATCAAGACAAGTTTGTAGAGAAAATGACCATATCCTTTCACTTTGTTTAGTTAAATTAAAATCTATTATTTGTATTTTATTTATATTGATATTACCCATTGCCTGCCAATCTTCCTTCATATGTTTAACAAAGTAGATATTTGAAAAGAATTCTTGAAATGTAAAAAGAGTGCAGACTAATATTGTTCCAGTTTCTCTATTCAGCATGAACCATTTTTGTCATTGTCAATATTACAGTAATGCTAATTGTAAAACCTATAGAAATACTGATTTTTTTATTTCTTTCATGCAACGTGCATGTTGCTGCATTGACCAACATTTATTATCCATTCCTAATTGCCCTTGAGAAAAGGTAGTGATGAGCTACCTCCTTTGAACTAGTGCAATGCATATGGTAAAGGCATACTTGTTAGGGAGGAAGTTCAAGTAATTAGCAAGTGACAGTGAAGGAATAATGATATAATTTTGAAAAATTCTTTTGCAGATCATGGACTTGTAAGGTGGTAACCTAGCATTTATTGTCAATTCCCAAATGTCCTTGAGAAGGTGATGGTAAACTGCCTTCTTTTGCCAGTGTAGTCCGTATAGCACAAGCGCACCCACAATGCTGTTAAAGAAGGGAGCTCAAGTATTTTGATCCATGATAGTGAACAAACATGATGATGTGTACTTTGAAAGGGAGCTTGCATGTGGTGATGTTCCTGTGCATCTGCTAGTATCATCTTTCTGGGTCATAGAGGATGCGGGTTTGGAAGGAACTATCAATGGAGCCTTGGTGAGTTGCTGCTGTGTAGAAATTGTTCTCATACTGTTGATTTGGTGACTTATGGTTTCCAACAGCTTGAATTAAATAGATTGACTGAAAGCTAATTGGCAGATGGGGAAAAAAGTCAATAAGCACTTAATGCAGAAATATATGAGTACTGTGGTATGAAGTATTCATACTGTGTTGAGGAGGTTGGAGAATAATCTGTCTTAGATCTTTACATTGTTAAAGTGAATGCTTCTCTATGATTACCCTGTTGTTTCTGGAGGAAATGCAGATCAAAAGGCATAATTTTAAAATCAGAGCTAGTCCACTTAGTACTTATATTGGTAAACATTTCTTCAAATGACACAAATCTGAAACACACTTTGAAAAACATAAAGGTACACAAGCCCCCAGCACCTGTTGGGATCTATCGAGAATACTGACGGACTCGTGTGAGGAAATTGCTGGGGTCTGGTACAAAATCTTTTTAACCTCTTTATTCAAGGGCAAGGTCTCAGAAGACTGGAGAATAACCCGTGTCGTTCTTTTGTTTAAGAAGGGCAACAGTGTTAATCTGGGAAATTATATACGAGTGAGCCTTACAACAGTGGTAGGTAAAATATTGGAGGACATTCTTAGGGAAAGGATTTATTCACATTTGGAAAAATATGGATTTATTTGATGACAGGCAGTATGGCTTTGTATGGGGACAGTCGTGTCTCAAATTTGATTGAGTTTTTGAGGAAGTGACAAAGATGATTGATGAGGACTGAGCAGTGGATGTCGTCTACATTGATGTTACTAAGAATTTTGATGAGGTCCCTCATAGCAGGCTGACACAAAAGGTGGAGTCATGTGGGATCCGTGGTGAACTGGTAAAATGGATACAACTAGCTTGGTCATAAAAGACAGAGCGCAATGGTGGAATGGTGTTTTTCTGACTGGAGATCTGTGACCAGCGGTGTTAATGAAGAGGATTGCCAGAGGATACAGAAGGATTTAGATAGGCTGGAGACTTGGGTGAAGAAATGGCAGATGGAATTTAATCGAAACAAATGTGAGATGATGCATTTTGTGGGAGGCAAAATGCAGGAGGGAAGTATACAGTAAATGACAGAATATCTAGAAGCATTAAATATCTGTCCATATAGGTCCACAGTTCCCTGAAATTGGCAACACAAGTGGATATGGTCATCAAGATGACGTACGGCATGCTTGCCCTTATCAAACATGGTGTAGTGTATAAAAATTGGCAAGTCATGTTGCAACTGTATAGAACTTTAGTTATGCCACATTTAGAATATTATGTACTTTTCTGGTCACCACGCTACTAGAAGGATGTGGAGGCTTTGCAGAAGGTAAAGAAAAGGTTTACTAGTTTGTTGCCTGGTTTGAAGGCTATTAACAATGGGGAGAGTAGACAAACTCTGTTTGTTCTCACTTGAACTTCTGAGGCTGAGGGGTGACCTGATAGAGGTTTACAAAATTATGAGAGGAATGGATAGAATAGATAGTTGGAGTCTTTTTCCCAGGGTAGAAATGTCAGTTACTAGGGGATGGAAGTTTATGGTAAAAGGGGGAAAGTTTTAAAGGAGATGTGAGGGGCAAACTTTTGTACAGAGGGTGCTAAGTGCCAGGAATGTGCTGCCTGAGGAGGTGGTGGAAGTAAATACAATAGCAATGTTTAAGAGGCATCTTGACAGATACATGAATAGACAGGGAATAGAGGGATATGGACCATGGAGAGTCAAAAGGTTTTTAGTTTAGAAAGGCATCCGGCGTCAGCACAGGAATGATGGGCCGAAGGACCTGTTCCTATGCTGTACAGTTCTTTGTTCTTCCCCACCCCCAGCAGATTTCATGGACTGTAAGAGTGAGAAGGGGGAGAAGACCTTACAGCTCATTTAGCCAGTTATGATTCAACTCCACATTCCCAACTCTTCCACATATCCCTTGATTCCCTGTGAGACTTAAGTCTGTCTGTTCCAGCCTTAAATATGTTCAACGATGGAACAGCTACAAATGTCTGGGATAGAGAATGCCAAGAATTCACAGCTCTTTAAAGAAACATCTCCTCATCTCTGCCCTTGTTTCCTTACCTTCAGTTTGCATTCCCAGTTTCTATATTCCCAGCCAGGGGAAAAAAAATTCTATTCATGGGACACAGAAACAAAAGCAAAATACTGTGGCTGCTGGATTCTGAAATTAAAGCAGATGTGAGAACAGTTCCAAAGTAGAGTTTTGTTGTCCTCCAGACATTAAATTGTTTCTCTCCACCAATGCTGCAAGACCTGCTGAGTTTCTCCAGCATGTTTGGTTTTTCTTTCCATTCCTGGGACATGTTGATAGAAAATTCAAAAAATGAACTAATTACAGTGATTAATTTTTAAGAAAATTTGCAATGGTCCTATTGATCCTGCTGTCTTTAATTTTAGACTGCACTATTGGCCCAAGTTCATCATTCCAGGAATAATACACATCTGAGAGAGAGTCAGCTGTGAATTGGAAAGTAGAGATAAAAGGAACCGAACAAATGTGCCAAATACATAGAACAAATGGAAAATGTTGAATTATACAACACGATCTGTTAGCATCTCAGAAGGCAAAAATTTAGCCACCAGTTTTGCTACAGATCCATTCCTAACTAGAGACAGTAATTTGAAACAGATGAGAATGAAAATTGTTCACCTTTTTTAAAAAAAAAATGCCTTAGCATGATTTGTACTTGTAATTAAGATCTGTCATTCCAAAGACTATTTTGCAATGCATATTTTGCACTTTCGATTAGACGAGTGCGAATAAAAGTTTTAGCACATATCCCTTCCTGAAAATGAAGCTGCCAAAACACAGGCAGTGAGAGATGTATTCATGAAGAAGCACAGAACATATTGCGAAATAAGCAAATGTTTTGTTTTCAACAGAGATGTAAATACTATTAAGTTGTTTTATCCAAAAATAAATAATTGTCTTGTTTATTCTGCCTTTTTTCTTAAAAAAATAAGCAACATATGAATAAGTACAAGAGTAGGCAGTTTGGTCCCTTAATGCTGTTCAACTAGATCTTAGCTGATCTTCTACTTCAGTGCCATTTTCCAACGTCATCCCGATATCCCTTGATATCTTTGGTATCTCAAAATCTATCCGTCTCTGCCTTGAATACACATAGTGTATATGTTTCTTTAGTGTGACCATCTCTCCAAAGCAGATTTATTGGCCCCCTTGCATCTCGCATAGGATCTACCCCTTAAATTCTGGATTCCGTACAGTGCCACAATTGAAATGTTGACTGACATTCGTGATTTGCATCTTTGCCATGTCTATGCACTGATGTGATGATTCAAAACTAATGCGTGAACCTTTTCAGTGTCTGAGTGGGTTTTGTTTTGTTCCTCTAATAAATTCTGAGTAAGGACATAACCATAAGAATGTACAAATTAAGAGCAAAAGTAGGCCATTTGGCACTTTTCCACTAATCGATAAGATCATGGTTGACCTGACTTGTGGCTCACCCCTGCCTATCTCTGTATCTTTTGAATCCCTTAGTATGAACAAGTCCCGTGTAAATTCTCATATCATATGAACCATTGCAATATGCAATGTGTTCTTAGATTAGGGATCAGTTAGGTTAGTTGGCTGAACGGCTGGTTTGCAATGCAACAGTATAAGTTCATTACCTGCACCAGCTGAGGTTACCATAAAGAACTCTCCTTCTCAACCTCTGTCCTGACCTGAGGCATGGTGACCCTCAGATTAAGCCACCAGTTGTCTCTTGTCTAATGAGAGAGCAACCCTTTGGTCCAGTAAGACTATGGCAACTTTACTTTTTAGGTGAAAACTTGAAATGCCACAGCATACAAAGCCACAGACCAAGTGCTGGAAAATGGGTTTAGAATTAACAGTTGCTTGGTGACCAGTAGAGACAATGCACTATGACTCCATGGAGTGGAACTGATGGAGATGCTAAGTGTAACAGTTTAAATGAGAACTATTCCTGAAAAATAATCTGTGGCTTTTACTGCTAATATATCTTATGCATGGTGGGATTTTGTTTTTTTGACTGTTTTTGTCAACATGTCAGAATGTGCTGACTTTGTTAGGATACTACTGCATTGACATTGGGCATATTTGTATCAGCAGGTTGGTTAGCTTAATGAAGCCTGATCATATTTTCAATTAGGACTCTTTGTAATGTGAGACATTGTAACAATATCTGAGCTGCCAATGCATTAGGGTAAATAGAGAAGCTCTGAGATCAGCTGGCATAACGCAGAATGGGGA